CACTTATATAGGGAATGGTAGTTCACCCATTTCTTCCCATCCACCACCTGCCTTGGCTTTGTAAAAATGGAATCTTGCTTCAGTCCATAATAAGAAACATCTTTACATTTTATAAACCAATAATTATTGGCAGTGTTCTGGTTTAAGCACAACTAGAAAAATATATTATCTGAATTGGACAACATTAAGACTTGTTAGGATTGTAGGCATATGGAACTCTGGTTTTTAAAGTGTGAAATTACTCACAATAGATGGCTTCAGAGGCTTAAATGCAACATAGTGACCCTCTTCCTCTAATGTTTTTACTACTTTGGACTATAAATACATATATTATGATTGGTTCTTTTTAAATCCTTTGAAAGAATGACTTATGATTTCAGCATGAAAACAAAAACCAAGTCCTTTCCAAAAACCAGAACAAGATTTTGTAGTGAAGGGGGAGCTAATTTTAACATTACAAGTGCCTAAGCTAGCAATTTCTTGTTGTTTGGCAGAGGGGCACAATGTCAAATAATTCTGAAATGTACCATTATGTTCAAGCCTGTACAGTCTGAAAATTGGAGAAAAAAAAGACATCTTCCCCTTTAATTTTTATGATAGTTTTAATCAGGTAATTGCAGTAAAACATTGAATCTTAAAACTGTTTTATGATATTATCCAGTATGTCAATGTACAAAGGGTATGATAACAAAACAGTTGAACTCATATGCATATTTACATTATGTACTCAAGGTAACCAGTTATAGTCTTATACATAAAAAGAGATACATCTGTGGCATGGAATTAAAACTAAAACCTATGTCATTAAGTAGAAAGATACAGCAATTAAGATTTTAATGGAAATAATATACAAGTGAGGCACTTTTTGAGGTCAATAGGGTAAAAAGCAAATGGCACTAAGCAAAGTAAGAGGCAATTGCCATCAAAGAGAAAAGGAAAACACGCTATGTACAGATTATACTGTAGCTCCCAATACAAGACTTTTTTCCCACTAGATGTTTTTGAACTCTCAGAGCTAACTGCTACTCTTCCAATGAAGAAGGCTTCATGGGGGGAAATGCCATTTAATGCTATTTAGATGCTACTTAATCAGTATGCCAAAAAACACATGGAAGTTTTAACCGCTAGGCTGCCCATTTTAATAGTCCTAATTGGACTCTAAACCGTCTCTTTTATTATTTTCCCACAAGTCCATAAACAACTCTGTACCTATTTGTATACAGTAACTTTATGCCCTCTAGAGCAGTGGTTCCCAACCCTTTTTTTGACCAGGGACCACTCTCCAACATTAGTACCAAAAGGGTTACAAATCAATTTTTGGTCAATTTTAGATTTGGTTTGGTTATTTGGGGTGCCGATTCAGAAAATTGTATTGGATAGACCACATCAGCTCTAGTTTCTGATACAGAACATATGGCATTGAGTAGTTGCCATCTGCTCACCCACAGAAACCATATTTAATAATCTAGAGCTGATGTGGTAATAGTAATCTTTCATGGATAGTCAGCCTCTGCCCTCCCGACATCCCCGTTGCCTCGGCACTATAAGAGGGTTTCAAGAGACTAGTGGCTTTCACTGTTGCATGGTTTCGAGGCAACGGTGTAGTAATGGTGAGGCCATGGACCATATTTTCATTCTTGTGGACCACAGGTTGAGAACCACTGCTCTAGAGAGAATAAAGGGTTATCTCAAACATGGTGTATTATCTGCATGTGAGTTTTATGGCTGCTCTCTAAGTATATCAGAAAATGATTATGCCCTTAAGAGTTAATAGGAAGAAACATGGGAATGCAATGGAAAAGTAACATCCCAGAATGCAAAGGCCGAGTACGTGTGCTCTGAAACAACTGCATTTGGCTGATGGAAGATTGAAGAGTGAAACTACCCCCTGGTCTATCAGTGCTTCTGGAAGTCAGACTCTGTTTTTAAAATTTGCACTGTTCTGAAGCTTTGTAGCCCAACAAGAATAATCTTTTCCGCAAGCAAGAGAATCCTGAAGTCAAAGCTGTGTGCAAGGTTTGGGATAGAATTCTCAACCTTGGTTTTAAAGGATTTGCATGAGTCCTTTCTTGGCTCCCTTGTAACTAAACCACACAAGATAGTAAGAATGCAAGTCTTCCCTTCAAATATCCAATGTGAATCACTCAGGAATTGTCCCTGAAAGGGCACTCCATCCTTCTAGGTGTTTGCTGGGGGGGGGG